TTCTACAAGTGGGACGGTGAGACGACCTATCCATGCCAGGGCTTTTCCACTTCGTGCCTGTCGAGCGATGACAGGTACTCGAAGGGTGTGTTCTGAAGCATAATCCCACTTAGTATTCATGAAGCCAAGTAGGGCCATGAGCGAAGTTTAAGTTTATGCGTATCGAAGAATTGCCGTTAAAGTTAACATTGCCTGCAGGTATCTGGACGGCAACAACCCCTGCGATGGGCAGCCGATGCTTGGCAGTTGGAAGGGCCAGGGTGCATGCACGGCGTCTTGCCGATAAGTCGATGAGGTCAGCGGCTCCATTTAACCTGGCAGCGAGGCCTTAATAATTAGTACGCAAGTCCTCAGACTACTTCATCATTAATGCAATTGGGTCATTCATATAGCCTATGTTCTAATTATTAAGGCCGTTCGTGGGCGCATGGATTTTCTTGCATAGATGGCCCCCAGTTAAGTGGGGTCTAATTCGTGCCCGTTTTGGGAAGCTTGCCATCAACAGAGTGGTATTGCTATCCTTCTTTAAACCGTTTGCTCAGGGTCAGTCTCCCCAAGGAACCTGCCTACTTCTTCAGCAACAGCGGCCTTAACAAGTCAAAAAGGCGTGGACTCACATCCTACGTCCTAGACCCTCCATCTACTCTCTATTAAACCCTAGATAGCCTTAATTTGGGACCATATACCCCTGGATGTTGGGTATAGGGCTTGTTTTTTTTCCCTGGAACCTGCTTGCTTTTTTTCCTTTGGAAACTGCTTGGGCCTGCAGTCTTCGGCCCCAGCCCTGCCATACTGTACCTATAGTCGGTTTAGGGTTTAGGGTTTAGGGTTTAGGGTTTAGGGTTTAGGGTCTCCAGTGTACCCATAGGCCTCATAGTCCCATAGTAGTTCTTTTTTGGGGTTCATATTTAGAATCCTATAAGGCCCAAAAGGAACTACTATGGGGCCTATGGGTCTCCAGTGTATTGCCTTGATTTGCTTGAACCAAGTTTGTATTTACGAGATTATAAGGTAACCCACCATAATGGAGACTACAGGTATCCAATACGGGCCTGATCAATTAGCAGCACTACTCTTTCGGGCTCCTAAATATGTGTGTATCAGCAATTTCCAAGAATCAAAAGTTTACCAAATTTACACCCAATCCCTATTCTGACAATGAAGGTTTGTATTGAGTTTGTGCAGCATCACGAGTCCGTGGTAGCAAATTTGCTCAAAGCAGTTGACGGTTTTGCTTTTGTGCCCTACCCTTTCGATCCCATGGCGCCACAGATGTTAGCGACGATGCTTGTGGCCGTATCGTGGAGCACCGTGTCGGGCCAGCTGAGGGGTCTGTCGGCACAGAAGAACGAAACCAACGCCACAGACCAGAATACTCTCCGCTCAGCGTGGGGAAGTTGCCAAAAGTACGGCTGCCCTTCGACATACATTCAGAGTCAAGCGTGCCAGTGCAACAGCCGATGCCAGGACTACCACAACTGCTGCTCGGACATCACCAGCTGCAGTGTTGGAGCACCACCTGTTGCTGCACCCTCGGCCGGCGCGCCCAGCGCTTCCGGGCACATCTCCGGTCATCCCGACCCCAGCAAACAGTA